ACAAATGGGATTACCAAGTGTAGATGTGGGGAAGTAAAACCTGGGATTTCAATATAATCCACTGAGAAGTGTCAAATCCACGCTTGTCTAACGGGAATTCCTGTGTTAAATTAAGTGAAACAAGGTCACTCATAAGCAAAAAGGATAAGAATTTTACAAATAACGACGAATGAAAAACATAACAATTTTTACAATGCATGACTTGACAAAGGATTTCGGATCTGGAAAATCTGAGATTTCAGTTTTGAAGTTCGAGGACATATCAACAAGAGCACATGTCCTTGGGAAGAAGTTGGTGCCTGGCATAAATACGGGACAAAAGGAAGCAGCATCACACATCGCTGACGTTGCCTCCCCTGCGAAGTCAGTGAAGACCCAGTCATGATCCTTTCCCGTCCTTTGGTAAGGCAATGAGAGTGTGCAGGAGTGTAACTTGCATTAGATAGATCTTCATTGTGGTTGCACTTTATACTTTCTGTTTAGTTCATGTTTATTTGAATTTCGAAATGTATCTTAGATTTGTGAGTTAAGCATGAATGTGCTTTCTATTTTTTTGTATTTTCTTTCTTTTTGAAATGCAAAATATGTTACCGTTGAGGAATGTGGTAAATATGAATGTTATTTTTTACAGATCGTGGTTTTGGCCGTAATGGCAATGGTTTACTCGGCGAAGGCCGGTGGAGGCGGATACGGGAGCAGAGGAGGCGGTGGAGGAGGTAGCTTTGGTGGTGGCGGTGGATTTAGTGGCGGCGGAGGAGGATTTGCTGGACACGGAGGAGCTGGTGGATTCAGCGGAGGTGCTGGAGGATTGGGTGGAGGAGCCCAAGGATTTGGCGGAGGAAGCGGCGGGTATGGCGGCGGACGAGGCGGAGGCAGCGTGGTCCGCGCGCGCTTGGTCGGCGTTGGCGTTCTTCCTAGCGTGGGCGGCGGTTCGGGCTTCGGCGGTGGCAGCGTGGGCGGCGGCGGCGGTTTCGGCCAAGGCGGACCTTCGGCGGAGGACGAGGAGGAGGGGGATCCTTCGGCGGAGGACGAGGAGGTGGCGGAGGAGGCTACGGGTGGTAGTCATCACCGCAAAGAACATTTGGCTAGAAACATGTAAACATATCATTGTTTCTGAAAATATATAAATCAACAAAATAATAGTCTTGCTATTATATAACCACATTCACATTAGGAATAAGGGAAAATAATCTGAACGTATTTTATGATTGTGCATAGTGAATGGGTAGAGCAGCTCTTGTATTTCTCCCATTCTACGCTGGGGAGAATATCGTGCCATGAGAAAACTTGCAACAATTATGACAATAAGAAATGATGATAATAGGATAATATCAACACTAATGGTAATGATACGCGAATCAAATGATACATTAAATTCCATTCTGACCTTAAAATGCATGTTGTGCATATTTTACGGGGAATTGAAATATCTGCCAAATGAAAAATGGATGTCATTTTAATAGAAAGAAAGGAAAGTAAGGTGTGGTGGGCTTGGCGCGAGAGGCTTCAAATAAATACATAGATATTAAGAGGAAAGGGTAATTCCTATATGAACGAGCGACAGAAACCTATTCGGCAAATTAACACATTTCACAAGAGTATTCGTGTTCAACTAGCCCCTGCCTCTTGAACAACGTTATGGCTAAGCGTTTCCTCGTTAACTTCGGCATAATTCCAACAGCCCCTATTCTTTTTTAAGCTGTCGTTTTTCATTTTTCATTTATTTGTGTATTTCATTTTCAATTTTACTGTTTGGAACTGACTCTAGAAACAGGAACTTTTTCTGCTTGCGGTTTGGCCCACTGCTTTCTCCGAGGGTGAGCTTCCTTGTGGGTCAGCTGCTTGCAACCGTTGAAATTTCCAAGGGACACGACTGGACTTCATTAGAGGGAAATTATAGGTTTTCCAAGCAAAGCACTTACGAATTGCAGTTAATCTGATTAAATCGGTATGTAATTAGGTCCAATTGGAATGTCATTAATGAGTAATAATGTTGATTGGATTGACGAGTTCTAGCTGGAGCAAAAAAATAAAGGCTATGTATATTCCATATCCTTATGATGAAAAAGTTTTAAGAAGTGGCAAATGACAGACTAAAATAAAGATGTTATTTACGGGAAAATACGATTTGTACATGTCAATATTACACAAAAAATCTAGACAAAATGATATATTATATCTTTGTGTCTACTCAATCTTTAATATATTGCTTTGAAGCCTATCAAATACATACACACACACACACACACACACACACACACACACACACACACACACACACACAGCACACACACACACACACACACACACAACACACACAGACACACACACACACACACACACACACACACACACACACACACACACACACAACACACAACACACACACATATATATATATATATATATATATATATATATATATATATATGTGTGTGTGTGTGTGTGTGTGTGTGTGTGTGTGTGTGTGTGTGTGTGTGTGTGTGTGTGTGTGTGTGTGTGTGTGTGTGTGTGTGTGTGTGTGTATGTATGCATGTATATGAGTATATATATAAAATAGATAGATCGACGGATAGATAATGTGGCACATAAACAAAGTTACAGTATTCATTAAATTTCTTAATACTACCACATGCTGACTAATTTGAGAGTGGTTTAATGAATAGATACGATACAAGGAGATTAATCATGAGCAAAATAAGAATAAATCTAGAAAAAAAAATCCAATGGTAAGAGAATATGAAAGGTCTCATTATCTTACTAATTATACGGGAAACTATAAATGAACTGTTCACCGAGACATAAAATATATTGACGAAGATGATTGCAAAAACTAAGAATATTTGGAGACAGGAAGAATATTTTTTCAAACATGTATATAAATTCATATCAATAAAATATCAGTATATCTAGAGATCTATAGACTTTCACCGCCATGGTAAATCGACAAGAGATTAATTGAAATAGATTGATAATTGCATCAAAATGCAAAGAATTGTCTTTCGATAAGGAAAATATGTAGTGACGACCGCTCAAAACAATTGATTAACAACACAATAAGTTTTGGCATGTAGAAAACACTAGCCTATAATACCTGGTTAAATCATCTGAATTGAAAGACAATCAGGTATGGCATGTTATAATACCTGGTTAAATCATTTGAATTGAAAGACAACCAGGTATGA